CCTGTTTTTGGTGTTTTTCATTTCCATAACCTTCGAACATCAACCCAAAATTATACAACATAAATTTTTTCATCAAATATGGTTGGTACAATTTCTATTTTAAACGATTTCATATATTTATCCGGGTTTTACTATATTTGTAGTTCAAAAAAAGAAAAAATTACTTATTATATATAAAGATAAGAGAGTGGGGTTTACATTGGTGTCTTGCAAAGACCAAATCACTATTCGTTCATAGGTACTGAGGCTAAGGGTTAGTATACTATTTGGATTCGTCACTATCAATGCATTGGTATACGCCCTTTTTAAAGTTGGATATCCCTGCGAGAATTGTGTGTGTGTGTGTGGGCCAGGATATTCTCAATGTGTTTATTCATGCGAGGACATACATCATATCTGAGATACAAGTTGTGGTTTGATATACATTATGGGTAATGGTACAAATTGTGGGTATTGTTTGTTGTTATGGAAATGGTTTATTACAAGAACTTGTTGGAAATGGTTTATGGTTGGAAATGACTTATTGTTGGGAATTGGTTTTATCTCTTCATTTAATTTATTGATATTGCTTAAACTTGAGATCAGATGAACTGTCACTATTTCTTTCAAAAGTTATATATGATATTTGTGAAATGAGACCGACTTGTTTTATATGTTTTCAAAACCTTGTCCAAGTTTGAGAGCATTTTCCTATAGAGCTTAGTGCTCACCCTTTACAAACAATATTTATTTTCAAATTTCGGTTTAGAGGAAGAGCTCGAAGTTGACGAGCAAGTAATTTGGGAAGCTCAAGTGGATGGGCATGTGGATCTGGAAGGGGATTTCTAAAATTGTTCTTTTTCTGTACTAGACTAGGAGTTTCATTCTGAGATAATGTTCATGTAAGTATTTTCCTTATTCCGTTGCGAGATAATAGTTTGGCATATTCTTTTGGATGATGTTGTATATATTATGGATGATGAATGAAATTATTTTTATTTATAGATCTTATTAGTTGCTCTCGTGATGTGAATGGTTTCAGGTAGTAATGCTGTCCAAGGTGGATTTTGGGGGCGTTACAAGGATGTCTAGAATTGTTCTTTTTGTGTTCTAGACTAGGAGATTCATTTTAAGATAATGTTCATGTTAATATTTTCCTAATTCCACTGCGAGATAATAATTTGACATATTCTTTTGGGGTGTAGTTGTCATAGTTTGACATATTCTTTTGGATGTAATAACCATAATTTGACATATTCTTTTGGATGATGTTGCATATATTATGGATGATGAATGAAATTTTCTTTATTTATGGGTCTTATTAGTTGCTCTTATGACATAAATGGTTTTAAATAGTAATGTCGTCCAAGGAGGATTTTGGGGTGTTACAAATTTATCCTCAAATCTTCTAAATACAACTAATTTTCTTCAAATTTTCTTCGATCAATCACTTACCCATACCATTTTCAAGGTTTTGACTGATTGAAATCAGTTGAAAGCAAGCTGTTAGAGAGAAATTAGTGAAAAGATTGATCTAAGGCAAAGAACAAGAGGTTCTTCAAGTCCAGCACAAAGAGGCCAACCTCCACAACTTGAAGCACCTCCACAGTAACCCCAACCAGGAAATGTCGACAATGCTGCGGTATTTGAGAATGTTGAGCAACAAGTCTGGTATGATGCTCATTTTCTCTCTATAACTATCATTCCTGAAAGACCAATGACTTATGAAATGATTTGCACTTTTTTTATATGATATTTATATTATACACTGATGTATAAGTGGTCCAATTATAGTTTTCTCGATTTTTAGTTCATGTACCGATCCCACGAAGAGTGTAACGCCCAAAAACCCCCTTGGGTGACATTACATTCTAAAAACCATTCACCCCATGAGAGCATTACGTAAGTTCATCACGACGAAAGTTCATTCATTTAACCATTCATATTTTAACAAAATTTGGGCAGAGTCTCCTTTGTACGGGGAGCTTTACCCAAAACACAACCTGTACAATTATATTACAATTGACCACACAGGGTCCACATATGCATAACTATTGACCACACCGGGTCTATTTATCCATCATAAAATAAACTTTCATTCATCATATGTCATATCCACAATGTCATCCCAAAAGAATAGGCCAAGTATGACAAATATATTCCCAAAAGAATTAAATTACACTTGTAGTGAAATAACAAAATACTAGACTTTACATGATTTCAAAATAAACTCTCTAGTCTAGTACAAAAGAAATATAACTCTAGGCATCCAGTTCAGGACCCCCGTTCCCCTCTAGGGGAGCTTCCCCATGCACTGGTTCATCTACTTGTAACTCCTCCTCATAGACGAAATCTGAAAAGATATTATTTGTAGGGGATGGATGAGCACTAAGCTCTGTAGCAACATTCCTTCCATACTCATGCAAGGTTTAGAAAACAAGTAAAACAATTTGGTCTTATTTTCCAAAATATCATATAACATTTGAAGTAAAACCGTGACATTTGAAACAGATCTCAAGTTTAAACATTCGCAATAATTTAAATGAACAGTAAACCCAAGTCACAATGAGCAACCATAACCATTTCCAACAAGTTCTTGTAGAGTCCCATACCTCCACAAGCTCTTGTGGGAAATGCAATAGTAACACCATAATACAAAAAGGAACGCTTATTCCACCATCGATTATTATATTTCCTTTGGCAGGTGGCATACTTTTAGGACTAAAAGTTACGGGGTGGTCATTTAATTTTTTTTTAATTAGAATGGATTAAAGGATAAAAAAATATACTTAGGCATGTCCATATCACATTCAAAGTGCTCTGCTTGTATGTAATGGCTTAAAAAATCATTTGAACGAACCTTTGACCAATTTTCACTTTTTTCTTTTATTTTCTTTTGTTGTTAGTTTACAAGTTTTAATCAAGGTTTACAAGTCCAAATGAATATTTTGGATTCATGCATGCATGTGTTTGTTCATCTACATTTCCGTATACGCTAATGTTTTTTCCATGGACTAATCTTTAGCTTGCTTTCAGGGATGAAGCACTGGAATTCGTGAAAAAGTCTGAACTTGTTATCAGGAGGTTGCTAGAGGTGCTAATGAAAAGACTGAATGTGAAGGAGATCGATAAAACTAAAGAATTGCTTTTAATGGGCTCAAAGAGGATTAACCTTAACTACTATCCTAAATGTCCTAATCCTAATCTCACAGTTGGAGTGGGGCGTCACTCCGATGTCTCAGCATTGACTCTCCTCCTACAAGATGATATCGGTGGACTTTATGTTCGGAAAATGGATGGTAATAGTTGGATCCATGTTCCTCCAATCAGTGAATCTCTTGTCATAAACGTTGGTGATGCGCTTCAGATCATGAGCAATGGTCGATATAAAAGCATCGAGCATCGTGTGACTGCCAACGGAAGCAAGAACAGGGTTTCAGTTCCAATTTTCGTGAACCCCAGACCTTTTGATGTTATCGGTCCACTGTTAGAAGTGCTGGAGAATGGAGAGAAACCAATGTACAAGCAAGTTCTTTACTCGGATTATGTCAAGCATTTCTTCAAGAAAGCCCATGATGGAAAAGACACGCTAGAATTTGCAAAGATATGAAAAGTTTCGAGTCAAGCCTGCTATCTTCGTTTGGAGTAATCGGGAGAATAATCATTACAATAAATTACGGATCATCGAGGCATGGTCCAAGAGGGCCAAAGCTAGTCTGTGATCTAACTATCTGTATCGGAGAGACAGTTTCTCTATTTAATTTATAGTAATTGTCGTACATTAAGGTACTATATTATTTATAAAAAATTATAAATATTTATTTATAAATAAAAGCAATGAATAATATATTTGAACAAAGCAACAATCAAATTGATATTGTTCAATCTATATACCGAAGATATATAATCAAATTTTTATATAACGAAAATCACGCTGTAACTACTGTAACATATTAATTCCAAAATCTGAGAAAATATAATTTTATTGATCAAACATCTACGATTTTAACATT